CCCCCCCCCCCCCCCTTATTCGCTGAATAAAAGGTGGCGGCGGCGGGTGACGTAACCGTCACCCCGCCGTGCAACCGGGACCTCCCTGAGCGCGCCCCTCCTTCCCCCCCCGGGTCTTTGGTGTCTGTCTCCCAGGTCCGAAGGCACCCATGCTGTTTCGTTTCGGGGTAATTCTCCCCGCCCGGCTGACTGAAGGCGGGACGGTGCTTTGCGTGTCGGGGTCTCGGCCGGAGCTGGGTCAATGGGACCCCAAGCGCGCGCTGGCCATGAAGCCTGGCCGGCCGCTGGCTCCTTTGCCTGCTCAAGAACCAGTCTTGTGGCTCGCCGAGGTGGCGCTGCCCGAGGAAGAGGCCGCGAGCACCTTTTGGTACAAATTCCTCAGGCGGCTCGAGACAGGAGACGCCGTCTGGGAAGGTAACACCCGCTTAAGTCTCGTGCGCTCGCTGTTGGAGCTCCCCTGGGTGCACGCGCGCGCGCCCACGCTGGCCAGTAGAATTGAGGGCGTGGCCATCCCCCCTCCCTTCTCCGGGCTCGTTCCCGCTAAGAAGAGGAACAGGGACCCTTTACAAGCTTTGTGCAATTGGAGAGGCGCCCAAATAAGCGACGAACAGCCGTTCTTCTCCATTGCCAGTTCGTTTAGCACAAGCTGGAAAGAAATAGGCAAGGGAGAACGATGCCTGGAAGCCCCTAGGACCCTCGCTCACTTCTTGTTGCTGTAGGAGTCTTGAGAGTGACCGGGAATTTGGAAGCATGCAGAAGCATGATCTGCTTCTATCTTTTGCACAGCTTCACAGGGCACCACAGCAGGAAGAACTAAGGTCACAGTGCCGCCTAGAGAAAGAACAGCTGCTCTGCTTGCTACTCACTGCCACTCTTGGAAGGAGCTGATTGTAAGGATTGTGAAGTTATTAAGAGATAATGGGGGGAGTCACTGCTGCCCTGTATTGGCAGGTGGCCCCAGATTTATTAATTTATTCATCACATTTATATAGCCACCCATCTCACATACATGACATACGATGCCCTCAGAAGAGGCCCAGAGAAATGATCAAGTGATCATAGGAGGAGTCACTGCCGGCCTGTACTGGCAGGTGGCCCCAGATGCCCCCAGAAGCATATGTTCTACAGAGAATGCATGGCTATGACTTAGCTTTTTCTTCTTTTGTAAGAGTAGTTGGGCAAAGGATGTTTGTTCCCCATGATTATTTATTTGTTCTGTACCCTGCCTTTCTTCCAGGAACCCATGGTGGTGATATATATTTCCAAAATGGTATACTGTATTTCCAAAACAGCCTGCTGGATAGGTTGGTTGAGAGAGTAATTAGCTCATCTTAATCCAGGGAGCTTCCATGGCTGAAGGTAGACTTGAACCTCTATCTCTTGGGTCTTAGTGCAACATGTTCACCACTATACCACACTTGATTACCAGTCCTTCCTTTCTGGAATGCTGTACTTCCCATTCTTCTGTGCAATACAGTGGGAAGAACTGCCCATAACAAGAAGCTTGTGAAAAATTGGTAGACATGCTACAATTAACAGGAGCCAGCATGGATTTGTTGTAAACAAACTGTTCCACTCTGAATTATTTCCTTCTTTGATAGAGTTACTAGTATAGTAAATCTGGGGAATGATGTAGACAGACTGTAACCGGACTCAGCATAGCCTTGGATGTAGTGCTGATTATACTCCCTTTAACAAAATGCTAAAATATAAGATAGATGATAGATTCATAGTTGGGTGAATCACCACACCAAATAATGTTCATTAATGGTTCCAGCTTGTGGAGGGGAGGGATATATCTAATGGAGGGCCACAGAACCCTCTCTTCATCATTTTCTTTTATCAGTAGTTTGGGTGGGGATGTTAAAGTGAGTCTGCAGATGACCCAAAGGTGAGAGGGGTGGCTAATACTTCAGATGAAAGAGATAACATTTTAAAAGATCTAGACAGGCTTGTGGGCTGAAATGAATAGGATGGAATTTAACAGGGAGAATTATAAAGTTCTGCACCTGGGTAGGAAAAATATAAGGCACAAGTATAGAATAAAGAGGTCCTGGTTTGGCTGTAGTACATGTGAAAGGGATATGGTGTCCTTGTTGTCCACAGGTTAAATAGCAGCAGCAGTGTGATTCAGTTGCTGAAAAGGCAGATGCAATCCTTGGATGCATTAACAAGAGCCCAGAGGAAGGGAAGTAATTGTTCCACACTACTCTACCCTGTTCAGTCCCTATTTGGGGTACAGGGCACCACAGTTCAAAAAGCACAGTGACAAATCAGAATGAGTTCAGAGGAGGGCTGCCAAGATGGTGAGGAACATTTAAAAGCTCTGGATATGTTTAGCCTAGAGAAGAGATGACTGACAGGAGATATGGTAGCAATCCTCACATTTCTAAAGGATTGTCGCATGGAAGAGGGGCAGACATGTTTTTTGTTGCCCCAAAGTTCAGGACCAAAATCAGTGGGTTAAAACTACAAGGAAGGAGCTAGCTAGACATCAGGAATATCTTCCTGATTATATGAGCTGTCAGCCAGCAGAACATGAAGTAAGTTTCCTTTGGCTGTGGTCTGGATGCTGTAGTGGATCCTGCAGCAATCAGAGAATTGAGTTAGATGACCTTCCAGCCGTATAATTCAGTGATCCACAGGGAGGAAAAATCCAGAGCTGATCTTTCATAGTGCAGTGTTCAAGGAAACCCTGCCACTTCACATTACTAATCATAGTTCTAGTCTTCTCTCACTGGCTGATGTGACAGGCTGGACTAGTTCCTCACCTTATTGCCATGTTAGAATGCAAGTGAGTGATAAGATGAATTGACTGCTTTTTCCAAAACTAACTCTGAATGATGCAGCATCTAGAGAGTACGAGGGAGTCGGCAGAGATGCCTGCTTGTATAACACAAAATTGGACTAAATTGACCTTGCCCTGATTTTGGGGGGGAGGTGGGGAGACAAAAGATACTATTTTCTCTAACTTAAGGGGTGAGCAACCTGCAGCCCTGGGTCTAAATTCAGAAGTTCTGTTCAAGCAATCGTTTGAGACATCTGGTAAGATCACCCTGTTCAAGTCTGCTACCTGGGGAGGTCAGCTCAGGGAAAAATAATTTGTACGTTGCATCTTTTTGTGCAGATGTGCTGAGTCATTGTTGGCAAGCATCACATCTAAGATTTCCATGGTCCACACTCAGTTTGCAAAGCTTCTCCCCATTAATATTAGAAAGAAAGGTTCAGATTCACAGCAGGATGAAGGGGATTGTTTCCTTCGCATCATCTGGCCATTTCCTTTGCTTGGTCTACTCACCATTTTTTTTTCCTGGCATGTAAGGTGAGGATCAGCAGAGAATGTTGACTTATTTTACCCCCAGAGCCATAAAAAAGGCCCGAAGCCAGGCATTGCTCCCAAGCAAGCGAGAAATCCTGCTTGCCTAACCACAACCCCATGTAAGGAATAAGAGTTGAGTGAAAGAACAAACCAATGGAACGTGTTTTCCTTGTTTCACTTGTGCACACTGCTTGTTCTTTGCAGCTTTTCTGATGGCATGCAGGATGGGAGAGCAAACTAACTGTGTGCTTCACCTACCCCAAAAGCTTAAAAAACAATTTCCCCAAGGAAGAAAACCCACTTGCTTCAGCCTTCATCATTGCCCCCCTCCCGAAAAAGAGGTCCAAGTGCCCCAGCAGGCTGAAGGAGGCGCATTTCCTTTGTTTCCCCTGGTCTGTTGATCGGTCTGTTTCTCCTTTCTAGCCCTTGGGGAGAGGGGAATGTTCCCTTGCATCACCCACACCCCTCCATGTTTGACAGAAATACCTCCCACATTCATAGTAGCTATTTGGGGTGCATAAGATACCTCGTGAACATGATTTTGTGACTATGCTAGCAAAATAATGGAAAAGACTAGGAAAAAAGATGATTATTAGAGTTAAGTTGGCCAGGGTGCTTCACTTGGAATTTTAACCCTAAAAGGAGATCCTTCAAAAAGTGAGCTTCCTAAATACACACATATTGAAAACTGTGTATGTAGCAAAAGGTAATTTGTGGTTTCTGTCATTGTACCTTTCCTGAATGCCCCCTTCCCCTTTTCCATTTCCCTCTATTTTTTTCTCCCTTTCTCATATGAGCAAATAGTCAGCAAATAAAAATGAATGTCTTCTAAATCCACTAAGTGTCACTGTTCTACCGGAATTGAAAATCTCAGTCTCTCTACAGTTTAGCAGGACCAGCACTTAATCACTTTTGTATATCACTGATGGTAAAAAATGAATGCTAAACAACCTTTTTATTCTTCTTTTGCCTATTTCAGTTATGTATAAGGAATAATTAAAGGAAAGCAATATATTTATTAATTTATTATATTTTTATACTGCTGTACTTCCAAGCAACTACCAGTGGAGTCACAAGTGAAACTGATATATAAAACAGATGAATATAAAAATAAGAATTAAAACAATATAGTAAGCATGGTCTTGACCACATCATTCCCTCAATGCCTTCTGGATAACTCATTGTTAAATAATTTCCTGAAGGCCAGCAGCAAGCATGCTAGCCTAGCCTTAAGAAGGAGGCCCTCCCAAAATGCAGGGGCTGCAACCAGGAAACATTGCCTGTGAGACCCTGCCCTCTGTATCTCTTGGGCCTGGGAAACTCTCAACAGATTTTGACAAGAGTCTGAAAGAGGAGGCAATCCTGAAGCCAAGCCATAAAGGGCATTATACATTAAAATTCAGTTGCACTCAGAAATCTATTGGCAGCCAGTGCAATTACTGTGAAATAAGTATTATATGCTGTGGCAACTCTGATTCACTGATACATGGGCTGCTGCGTTTTGAACCATTTGCAGTTCTGGGTGGTCCTTCAAAGGCAGCCCCATGGAGAGCAGGGGAGAGACCCGACTGGGTCTGTCTGGTCAGGAAGGAGTGGAACCACTGGAGCATAGTGCCTGCAATTCCCAACCCTTGCAGGAAGTCCAGGATGATACAGTGGTCCCATCCAGACCCTTACAAAGGTCTTTGAATTGAATGTCCATTGCCATTTCTCACTGTCATTTCTCACTGTTCTTATTGCCACAATGTAGGCTTGAACATGAGCTCCTGCATAATATTCAGTCAGATTGACTTTTCATCTTCCTCCACTTGTGCTCCAGGTATCTATTCTACAGCTTCATCTCTTAGAGGTTCTCATAAACCAAGGAGCCCCAAAATTGGCCCACAGAGAGAAACTATTAGAAAGCAATCATGAATTTCCCAATTCTAGAACTAGATACCTGGCAGAACTGCTTGCCAGTCCTTAGGGAAACTCCCCAAGTGCCTTTTGAAATCCTCTGGATCCATTAGATGCCTGGGACAGACCATCCAAATAAGTCCATCCACTTCACAGAAGGAATGGGCAATGAGAAATCTCATCTAGACCAGGAATTATG